TTTGCCAACCGGTCAATACTCTAAATTGATGAGTTTGATTCATGATAGCAACAGTGTTTGATTGAGTTGCTACACTCGACAATATTATAGGGGCCAGCTGGTGTTGCTAAAAGGGATACAGTGTGTCCCAGAAAAAACGAAACCGAGAATTATTGATGTTTCATCATAACTTAATCACAATTATAATTGATAAATGACACATATTTGTAAAGCTTAGATCCTCCTCTTTCATTTGATGCAACTCATATGATGCATATTTCACGCATGAGTGATTAAAAACAATTTTAAGAGAGGAAATCAAAAAGTAATTTTCCCGTTTTGTTGACGATCAGCCATGCACACAGAAGACAAAAGAAATATGCATCATATGAATTGCATCACATGAAAGAAGAGGATCTAAGCTTTACAAATATGTGTCATTTATTAATTATAATTTTGATTAAGATATGATAAAACATCGATAATTCTCGGTTCGTTTTTTCTAGGACGCACTGTATAAATATAAGGAACATTAATGGGCCTGACCACCTATCAAAACATTGATTGATGAGCTGATAAGGACAAGAGCACTTCTCAAAATGAAGATTCCTTTTTGTCTCGCCCTGACAGATGAAGATTCTGTGAATACATGTAGGATAATTAGTTTGATTGCTGTATTCAAAAGAAACAAATTAAAATATTTACTTTTTATCTGTTGACTATTGAGAGCCTGAAAGGTGTTTTATGTCTCTGTGAAACATATAGGATTTATTTACCTTCTGGGCTTTCTTGCTCTGAACAGACACCCCCCCCCCCCTCACTCAGTGTTATTTAGGGTACGCGTATGCATGTTCCCTCCCTTGGAGAGGACCCCCCCCCCCTAAGTTTGGTGTGTAAAGTCGATGCAGGCCGATTTTTGTGTATTACGAGCCGGACTTTGGTGCGTGAAAAGTAGCCCTTTACCAGACATTTTGGGAACACGCATGGAGGGGGGGGGGGGGGGGGCGGGGGCGGGCCTGATGGGAGTTACATCGCTGTGAAGTGTAGGAGTAAATGCCCTGGCTGTGAAGACTCTGTGTGTGTCAAGTATCTATTGATGTGTATCTATGAGCGCGTTTATCTAGGCTTGCCACTAGATATGTACATATCGTACCCCACTATCGAACCCCACTATCGTACCCCACTATACGATCGTGATTTGCGGGATGTCGCGTTTATCGACCCTTCACGATTCAAAATAAAGGCCTTGTGTCTGCCCAGCTGTTTTGACCCGGGAAGCAGACAGTTTCCCGGAGGTCAACTTCACACGTATGCTTGTACACAACACCTGGGTGGTCATATTTGTATGTGAGGTTCAAAACAGCTTTGCGTTTATCGATCTCTCAGAAACGTGATTCTGGCTGTATGTCACATTCAAACCTCACCTTTTTGCGTCTTTAGATATGCCCATATCTAAAGACGTTTGAAAAAGGCTTTGCGTTTATCTACTTCTAAATTTGCCTGAAAGACGTTTGAGAAACCTGATTCTAGCAAAAATTTGCTAGATAAACGCAACCTATAACTGTCTAGTGAACACCTTTGAAGTAGTTATGCCCTCTCAACATTCCTATCAGCTATTACAATGCCATTGTGTTTCCGCTTGATAGCTTCCTCAGTAGGATAATAAGCGTGAACCAAATAAAAGTGTGCTTTTATATACCGGTAATAAAGGAGTTACGCCCTTTCGGTATTCCTATTGGTTATTAAAGCCCCTCTGTGGGAGCCCCAAAATTTTGATGGCAAAATTGCATTTAAATTGTATCATTATGTGAAAGAGGATGTCATTTAAAAGTCATTTCTGCAAGGATTTTCAGGAGAAAAGAGAAAAGAGAAAAGTTCATGTTTTCTGCGTACAACAGAAAACCCAAATTATGTATTCTTTGATCAATATTTGTCTTCGAACACATTTTTTTTTTTTGGGGGGGGGAAATCTTTGCAGAAGTGTGTCTTATTCAAATGACATCCTCTTTCACATTATGAAACAATTAAAGTGAAATTTTGCCATCAAATTTTTGGCGTATTTGGGGCTCCCAACACTTTTGAGAATACCTCTGCCAGACAGATTTCTGAGAATAGAATAAGTAGTATTCTAGAAGACAAAACAGTAGTCTGCAATATACATCTCATAGACCTCTTGGTTCAAATGTCTTTGATTGACTTAAAGAGAAGGTTGAGTTCTGGGAAGAGTTCAAAAATAATTTGTGAGCATTATCATTGTTATTATGCAAGTGTGGAAGAACATTAGATAAAAAATGTTCCCTGAAAAGCAAGGCTCTTCAAATGCCTTAATATTCTAAATATGGCATGTAACGTCATAAAAGTAAGGACATATTTTTATGCATTGTAGTCCCATATTAATATTTCTTTGTACAGTGCTTGTAACTTACCAAGACTGGGCCAAATTTCTTATCATTTTGATGATTCCAGAACCTTGCAGTACTGCTAGATGATCAACCTTTTCTGATCGATTCCACACCATTTCTTTCACAATGCAATCGCGTGACCAGAACTCAACTTTATCTTTAAATGCCTTTTCCACCAACCCATCGGCTATTAATACACCTTTGTGTCTCACCAAGTAGATTACTTAGAATAGGATTAATGCAATCTTTGATTCGCCCTGCATGAACTACCCATCTTTGAAGAAAGGTACACGGAAATGACCGGACAGTTATTCATCCGCATCGGAATGCCAGGCATCCGTGAAATGCATATGGTCGTAATTGCCAGGCGGTAATTAAGGGCCGGGTAACGGGGAATGCATTCGGAGAAGAGTCACTGAGGATTCGCTCTACGGGGAAATGAATTTAATTTGAGGGGTGATGCGACGGTCAAGCGCAAAAATTATCTGTCGGGAGGGGGCAGATAAGATCCATGTGTCTGTGAATTTTTGTTTGTTCTAAACTGTCTATACACTGCATGTACACAGTTTGTATCTGTAATTCATGACGCAGTACCGGTACATAAGGAAGACATTTGGAAATTAATAATTATAATGATATTTTACATAGTTGTGGACTTGAACCACGTATATGTATGCGGTAGACTGTCTGGTGTGTAATTCATCTTATGTTTGTAATTGGGCTTTTGCAGACTCTTTTCAATCAGGTATGCAGACTTTTCTTTTTTTCCGGATTTTTCTTCAGAATAGAAATGGTTCCAGGAAAAATAAAAAAAATCTCTGCCTTTCTCTCTCTCTCCGATCCCTTTTTTCTCTCTTTCCCTGTTTACTTTCATGTGAGCGTGTCAGCCTACGTCTATTACGTACAGTACATGTACATGTACGTTTTCTTTTAGCAGGTCTGTGTATCACTGTTCAGATCATACGCGCTACGTTATTTTCTCAGCTGAATGTGCGCCGGACACGGTAACAGTTCAGGCAGTGTATAATGTTGTAGTAGAGCAGGGCATTCTCTATAATCACCTTTTCATGCATCAGGTCTATTGGAAGTAAAGCAAGAGAGAAGAAGAAGGGGATGTGGAGGAGATTGAAGAGGGAATAAAGAAATACAAAACAAGTGGAGCTGGTCATGGCTTGAAATGAAAGGCGAGCAAGTAAAGGGATTCTATCTCCAGCTACGTCCATCTACAAGAGTAGCAATGACAACTCATCATAAACACAGAATTATTAAACACCAACGTTTTTTGATGGGTTTTTCCAGTAGTGTAGAAAGTTTTTCAAATTATTTTGTCTGCAGTGTAAACATGCCTATTGCCACCTTTTTGACTTCTGAGTGTGGTGTCAATCATTCTTCTCTTGTGTAGTTGCAGTCACAGACCCGAATCAATTGTAAACATGAAACGTTCGCAGGGTCTGAATTTGCAAGGCAGTAAACTCACATGTATTCCTTGGTACTACACCCATGAATAATTTACAATTGCATATATATAGTATGATTATGATTCTATAGTGATTTTTTTTCATTGATCATGTACTTTTGTAAAAATATTGTTCAATTCTGCATGCCCCCCCCCCTCCTGCGAAGCATATTTTTTACTAAAGAAACCATTATTATTATTCTAAAGGCCCTGTATTCTACATGTCTCTATCATTCTATTTTTACTTGCCAGAATTAGGTTTATATGATAAAGCTATCTGGAAGCTAGAATAGGCACCATCAAAAGATTCGGTGTGTTTTGTTTACAAATCAAATTTTGAATTTGAGTCTGTTTTTGCAGACTACACAAGTGTAAGACTATCAATTACAAAAGCTTGAGTATTATTACAGCATTAATTAGTCAACGATGCATATTTTATGAGCATTGATTTACCTATTGTCAGATGCACGTAAAAAGACTGCTGCATGCAATTAACACTATACACACCCATGACTCTTCAGCCTCATTGCAAGTTGCAGGCAGCCAATGAATTATATTGTTTTTCATTTCAAAACAAGTTCTCTTGACAAGTAAGAAAATAGTATTGTTATTTTGAAGAATTAATGAGAAAGAAGTGTAGGTATTCTAATTGAAAACCCTGACTATATTAGAAATGAAATGAGAAATAATTAAATCTGTCCCCTTTTACGCGCCATTACGTGTAGCTATATTTACATAACTTGCGCAATCTGCAGTTTGTTTTTTTATGAGAAATAACCCCATTTTATTACCTTCCGGCCCTACTTAATTAATGCGCTCTACAAGTAAATACTGGAATATATACAGTCATTATGACAGTATGACTTTTCGCTTCACTAAGCGCACACATGTAGGCACACACAGAAGGGGTCGCATTGAAATACATGCAAGGGGGCTACTTCAACACACAGATATAGGGCTTCTGAACTCGTACACACAAATACACACTCCTGTTTCGCATGTACATGTATGTGAACGCTCGGGTTTTATTATCAGCACACTACACGTGCATTCAAGCAACCAATATATTGTGCAGGGGTACAGCCAAGCATAGGGAAATAACACTCTCACTTGTGTCTTACAGTCCAGTGGATTACCTAAATTGGTGACTATAGTATACTGCTTTTATCGTTTGTAAACACTGCATTAATTTTTCACAGCCCACTGCTTATTTTCTACAGGCAACATTCTATCAGCCTAAGCTTTAAATTGGGGATTTTTATCGGCTGCTGAATATATACAGTGTGTTTTTGGAGTGTATTATTGTTATTCGGCAGAGCTCGAGGATTTTCTTGACAGGTCGTTACTCTTGGAATATATGTACTGTAGAGAGGATATTGAATTGAGCATACCTGCATGTATGTTCGGGAGCTGCTATCGTACGAACTTGACGTCAACGTAGGACTTGATTCTGAGTAATTGACTGCATGTCGCGAGGCTAAAGAGAGGTGTGTTTAAAAGCTGTACTATCTGATTTGATTTTGCTCAGATCAGTTATTAATATTGGCTATAGGCTAGACCTATTTCAAGAGAGGCTGTATGTTACATTTGTAATAAATGTACATGTATGTAGGGTCTATGTCTGTTTAACGTACAGGTCTGTATCCTGTTTCATTTAAGTTGAGCAAAGGTATGTAGCATGTAATTTTATGAAATTTAGTTATTTTTGTCATAATTAGTAGAAGTAGTAATAGTTGTAGAAGTAGTAGTAGTAGTAGCAGTCGTAGTAGTAATGTTGCTGTTGATGTTGTTTTTAGTAGACTAGTAAGTAATTAGTTAGACCTAGTAATTATTATATACTATTATTGTTATTACTAAATATTGTTATTATTATTATTACTTGGATTATAATTTTTTTATAGTACCGTTTCTAGGAGATAATCTTTTTTAAAGGAGATACAAATTAATCTTCCTTCTATTAATTTTTCTATCATGTCCACTGTGTTTTTTTTCCAGTCAGAGTATGAAAGACGATACTGTAATAATACAGTAGTCAGAACAGGCAACAGTTGTTGTGTCATTATACTCACAGTGATTGGAGGCAACCACATTTATAAATAGTGACCACAATTCCAAACACAGAGATTACTAATGAAAGCCATTTTTGAGACGAGAAGCAGAATTGATATGCCAAATGTGTTGAATGATTCCATCACTATACCGCATGAACGATTTGCCGATTTTGACCATGTATGATTTACGAGCAGTCAAAATTGAATTCTACTGGTTCTGTGCTACATGTATATGTAGTACTATAGTACTGCAATATTATATTTTTCTATTCATGTACCTTTAAATACATGATACGTGATGGGACTGAGTGAAATACGTTGACTTACGTATTCTTTCACTTGTGCATTCGTTGTAGAAATACAACTTATGCATATACATGTACATGTACATACTACATATGTACCACATATTCATGTACACCTGTACATGTGTTGTTCCGAGGCCTAGCATAAGCAAGAAGTTACTGGTAACTTCTTGGCATAAGTGCCCATATATCCCTCCGACACCTTTCTAAGCGTAAAGTTGTGATCGCAGCCCCAAACAGCTTGTGCAAGAACCTCAACTTCTGTCCCATTTCCAGATCAAAATGTAGTAATTGAAAAAAAATTATATGAAAAGTATTCCTTGTAAAAGTTTTCAAAATGCAAATATCAACCCTTCATTTATGTACCTACATGTACTTTTAGTTTTACCTGAAAAGCATTGCTAATTTGTAGATACATAACATGTTATAAGTGGTGACGGCGCGGAGATTAGTTGGTCATCTCTCTCTCTCTCTCTCTCTCTCTCCACTCCACTCTTCCTTTCTCCTCATTGAATTATAAACCCACACACATTCTGTTTACTGCAAATTTGTTTGCAAAATATGGCACGCTTGACTGGTAAACAAATAAGAATTGTTGTAAATAGAGCAGTAAATGGGTCTACTGTAGGCCCACTTAGACCCTGTTCTCACTCACTTTGAAAGTGGTCTTAGTTAGACCGTTCCAGATGAACGGGTCTTGAGGAACGGTTTTCGAGCATTCACACTCCGAGCAGTTTTTTATGGCTCAAACCGCTCCACGAGTCAAAGTGGTCATGTTGCTATGGCAGCTCAGGTCAGCAGGTCAATTTTTCGCGCGCGGAATACAAACCGTATGTACCGTACTACATGTTTCGCGCGGAACGTCACTAGCTCACTTCCGGTCAAAGTACACTTCCGTTCACATTGCACGTTAGAGCGGTCCAAACCGCTCTTAATAAGACCCGTTCCTCAAGACCACCTCCCGAGGTGGTCTTCTGGAGCGGTCCAGAAGTCCACTCCCTGGACCACTTTGACCGTTCTCACTCGCCTAAGAACTGCTCCTGAGGAACGGGTCTTAGTTAGACCGCTCCAACGAAGTGAATGAGAACGGGGTCTTACACAGCCTGAACGCCATTTACACCTCTGGAAAAAGCCATTGATGTTTATTCATTCCATTATTTTAGTGAGAAGTGCGCATACAGACTTGTTGCATATACAGTATGCGATCGCACAGAAGCGAGGAGAGTCGCGCAACAGAAGAAAAAATTTAATCATTCACTGATGTTTCGAGAGTGGGCAAGCCAGGCATAATTTATGATGCAAGAATCTTTGAAATTTCTACCGTTTAAAAAACCCACACATTCCAAGGGGTGGATATTTTTTTTATTTTTTTTTTTCGTTGTGAAAAACAACGGAATGTGAGAAAATCAACTATCTTTGCTTACAGTGTGGGAGGATAAGCACTTGTTTTCACTAAATTGTATATGTACATGTACTAGGGAATTGTCTATGGCAAGTGAATTGTCGAAGTGGAAAGATTTACTAGATGAATTATATTCAATAATGAAATGTATTGTAAATTGCAAATTAACAAAGAATCACTAGGGTTGAATTGAATGACATATTGGAGAAATTATTGATAGCGTAGGGTACCTCGGTGACTTCTCTACAGTACGGGTGTGACTGTCCTATCGGCTGATAAGGTTTTGTGACCCTCAACAATTTGTTATATATCCACAAGCATGCAATATAACACGTACATGCATAATGTGTTCAAAAGTGAATTAGACTGTGCACCTGTCTTGAGTGTCTTCACTGTTTACATTGTCTTGGCGTCACGCAAAGGCAGCCTGAATTTCATCAACTTGATCAAGAGGGCCCAACTGACTCCAAGGGAGCAAGGTATTAGATCAGGGAAAAAATACACGGGGGCTCAGGGCAAAATAGCCCCCGAAATGCCAAAAAGAGCCCCCGAAAGCATAAAAGAGCCCCAAAAAATTTGCATAGAGCTCAATGCAAACAAAATTAAAGAGTGTTATTTTCAGCAAGCTTGAAAAGTAGCCCGAAATGTTTTAAATAATTTTTTCCCTGTATTAGATTGCAAATAGGCCTTCATGTTTCTCCAGATTTTGCAAATTTGTTTGTATTTTGTTGTTCAATAGAATATACATGAACATGTACATTTATGTATCTATTCACCCCCACATTCAGAATTCCCCTTGTGTCATAATATTTCGACCTTTTGTCATTCTTTCGTCAGCAGTGAAGTATAACATCACTCAGGAAATTCTTAATTTGTCGGTTCACATATTTTGTTATATTGAAAGCCGGAGCATGCGATATTTTATATTATGTACAGATTCAGAATTTGTAAGGGGAGTAAAAAAAGGGCATAGTTTGAGTGTTGGGTTGGGTTTGAGTGTTGTGTTGGGTTTAAGTTTGGGTCCGGTGCTAACCCCCCCCCCCCCCCCCCGAAACTGTGCCACTTATTCCAATGAAAAATGTGTCAACTCCAAGGGCTATCTGTTAATATGTTATAATCTCAATTCTATTATTAATTTAAAGGGCACCAGTTGGGCTACGAAATCAAGGTACATGTATGCCACTTAGGTTTTTTAATGCAGGCGCAGTTGTAGCCCCCCCCCCCCCCCCCAATCCCCCAACAAAGAAATAAAACAAATCAGCCAGGGATTACAAATGGCTACAGGTATTACAGCGTATCCACACACAAAACAATTTATCCCGAAACTCTATAACGAAACGTCGTATAAATAATCATCGTATAAATTCCAGGATGTCCACACACAGAAGAATGTAATCCTGAAACTCTACAGCGAAATGTCATATAGGTGCACAGTTTGCTACTGCGGTCATGAAATGGAAGCGGAAATGAGAGGTCTGGTCTCCTTTCGCTCGAGGTCACGTTAAGCCCCGCCCAGTTAGTTACACTAGTTAAACTCCCCCTGTCCACACACAACATTTTCCGTGATTAGACGTGATTCTTTATTGAGTTCTAGTTCGAAACGATGCCCAAACCTGCGTTTCGTTAGACTAGTTTCGTTATACGACGTATCGTTAGTGAGCATGAAAAAACTATCGCAAAACGGTATAGCTAATCACGCCTAATCATGGAAAATGTTGTGTGTGGACAGGGGGTTACTGTCATATCCAAGGCCAAATTTTATCATATTGCAATATTAAGTATTTCCTCATAAATGTAATTAGCTTACTTCCTAGTTTTATTTGCTTTTTTATTGCACTTGTGTGGTAAAGCTATTTGGATTCATACATAACGGATATGGCCACTCTGTTTTCAAATCATAAATTGATATATTGTACAGACATTAATCAATAGGCTTTGTAGTTTGTATGAGGTGATTTTCTTGTATTGATACAAAAAGATATTGCTTCACCGACTTTAGGCCATGGTAATAAAGATTGAAATTAATTTTTTTCATTCCTTTATACAGCTCGACACTCTCCAGTAAGTAGGACCTTTTGCTGCAGTTTGAGGATTTAGCTACATATGTTAAATACACATGTTCAAACTGTATGTACATGTAGGAATATACAATGTATACCGGTAGCTTGTTTAAGCAACTCTTTAAAAAACTTGGATAAAACAAACTTAGAGAGTTTCAAAAGGGTTTTGATTTAGATACACCCAAGTGTTCAGAAATATCATGTAGTTTCAATCATTGTCAGAAATAAGAACAGAAACTGTGTGTACAGTCTAGTATGTACTATATTTCTATCTATTCTTTTTCAAAGTGTTAATGTTAAATTGCCCTGAGCCCACTTGTCAATAAGTGTTCATATTTAGCATACAATCACACAATCAAAACATAGCATCAAAGATGTGAAAATATATCTGATTTAAAAAGAAACACTCAAATGGTTTTGATTTTAGTTTTCATCTTGTTAGACCGAGGACGCGCGCACCGGCCCTCACTAGCGATTGCGATCTACATGTACACAATTTCTCTCGCTTGTCTTGTTTCCCGTTGCGACTTTTACGTACCCTGCATGTGTTGACCTCATTACGTTGGCACATTACAAATGTTCACAAATTATTATTATCAGCTACAATTATTATAAGACACTATCTTCCTATCCTCATCCGAAAAAGTTATTGCAAGTACATGTACCTTCAAAACAAGATTTTGGGGTACAGTTAAAGGTACTGTGTCCCTTTTGCAGCCAACCTCAAATGCTGTATAACTTTGCAGGAATTATGAATATGTCATGTATGTCCTATCTGTGAAATTTAAACGTTAGCAGTGTCCTCATATTCAAATTATGCAAGGAAACCCGTTTACTTGCTAGACTTCACTGTCAGACACTATTGAGTGACTGACTGGCTTTTTTTCTTCTTTGGTAATAACATACATGAAAAGAGTTGTAAAGGGTACATGAGCATTTGTCTACATCAATAACCCACTTCTTGTGATGGCCAAGATTAAACTGATTGAACCTTTGCGCAGCATAAAACGTATGACCATTCGGTACAATTGTCTGAAAATCAAGATTATTACTTTTGGGCTCTATAGCCCTAAAGTCGATTTGACAACTAATAGTCATTATTTTCCCACTTGAAGACATTTTCAAGCCCCACCTTTTTTAGGGAAGTTCTAAATTAGTATTATCTTTCAAATGCAGTTGGAATTTAACGTTTTCATTTTTTTGGCCTGCAAATGGGACATAGTACCTTTAAACAAGTTGAGATGTTTTTATGAGGTAGATGTTGTGTGTACCTCAGGGCTTCTACATTTCCATACGACCATAGAATACACATGTACTGTAGCTTTCATGCATGCATCCTACAGACCAAGGCAAGTATTCAGAAATGTAATGAATTATTGAAGGACCCCTCTTTCCATGATAACTTCAAACAAAGAGAACAAAAAAGGCTGGTATGCTATGAGGGGTTTCGTTATACCAAAGAGATACTCTTTGGTTATGTATCTGAATAGTTTATAAGCAAGGTTTGGTATTTCTCTTTCCTCAAGCTCTGTTTACATGTGGCAAGGTTAAACCTCCTTACTAAAGCCTTGTTCACACACGATGTAAGTAAAGCCTTATAATGACATGTGATGTTGGGAACTGAAACTTTATTTAAAACCGAGATTTGAATTGTGAATACGTTGTTTCATTTCGGAGGTGAGGAGGGGGTGTGTTCCCCAGTTCAGGATCAGAACTTGAAAATAACCGCCTTCCTCAGAAATTCTGGGGGCATGGGACTCAAAGGAGCTGGGTGTAAGCTGAGTGGAGTTGATGTGGTTGTTCATAGAGGTGTATTACAATGTACATGTAGGCCTATGTAAGTCCTGCATGGATACTGTATGAGGGTGTAGTGTAATGAAAAGTTTGAAAGATGAGAAGAATGATTTTGAAGATGATGCGCTGAAGGATGGGTGAGATGTGAGCTGTACCTTTGGTGAGTGCTACAATTAAGTCTGGACACTGAGATTTGAAGTCATTGATGGCATTGCAGCTGGTACTGTAGTCAGGAAGATGTATCAGAAGAAAATTGCAAAAGTCCAAGTGCGAAGAGATTAGGAGAGAATGAGCCATGGTTTTAGTAGCCTTACGTGTCAGGAATCTTTGGATGTGCGACAGGTTGCGGAGTTGGAATCTGATGGCTTTAGTTGTTTAAGATACATGTACATGATCATTTAGTGTCATGTTGGAATCGATGGCAACACCGAGATTCTGGGATTTATTCGTAGAGCTGATCTGACCATCACAGATTTATAATAAGCTTTCCAGGATGTAAATTCATAAACTCATTTCCCTCCTTTGAGGTTTAGATTGTTATGTGTCATCCACCTATAGCATTGATTCAACCTCATATTCTCCCAGGCGCTTGATGATGGATATCAAAATGTCGTCAGAATCTGATCAAAATTTGAACATCAGATGGAGGGAAGGAGATGAAGAGTTGGATGTCAGCCAGCATTGTTGCTCTTGATGAGTTGACTAAGTGGTTTGGTGTGATTGGATCTACCATGTACTGTACATGTGTATGGAGAACAAGAGCGGTGCACCAAAAGATCCCTTGGGGACACACTCTGTACATTGTACATCAGATCTTTGTGTTATAAGCTGTAGGAAATTGAACTGCTCCAGCATTTTTTTCTGTAAATACATACTCTCTATTAGGAGTGTTCCCATATCATATTTGAACAAAGGTTAATCCACATTATCAGTGATATCAAAATTTGTATGTTCAAAGATCATTCTGGGTGAGGAGAGATCAATGATAGATATGTCAGTCACTGTTATCAGATATCGGTAAGCTTGTCAACCAGTGTTATTAGAAGATAAAGATGAGCATAGTTGATGCTCGGGCTCAGGGAAAAACACTCTGTTCCCTGGCCACAGGCGCGGATCCAGGATTTCTCAGGGGAGGGGGCCCAACTTTTTATTTTTTTGCTCCCGAAAATTTGAAAATCGCGCCGGCCGAAAAGTCGCTCAGTGGGGGGGGGGGGGGGGGGGGGGGGGGGTTTTGCTCCTGAACATTTGAAAAACACGGCGGCCAAAAATTCGCTCAGTTGGGGGGGGGGGGGGGGGGGGGGAGGGGAGGGGGGTAGTGAGCACTTTTTTTTTTTTTTTTTTTGATCCTCAAAAAAATTTCAATTTGCAAACCCCCCCCCCCCTCCCCGTTGAGCGTGTAAAATGTAAAATCACGTGGTTTTACATGAGTGGCGAGCATTCATATCGCTGGGATTCAAAATCAAATCCCTGTTGTCAGGGAACATCCGGGAGAGAACAGGAGAAGATGAATTTATCCTCATCTCTCCAGAAATCATTGGTATCAGCAGCGCAGATGCACTTGGCGTTTGAAGATGATACAGGAATGAAGATGTCTGCCCTCATTCAGACTACCAGAATTCATTGTATTGCTAATATATACAGCTACATGTTATGATAAAGTAATTACATGCTTTTCTTCCAGCCTGAACAGATATATAACAAAATATTGTACAACAAAACGTTGTTTTGAATACAAAACGCACATTTGAGCGTCATTTCAAACGAACACTCAATAAAGAGTGAGGGTCCTGTTGTACGCGTAGTATGAATGTTGTATCATATGAAAATCAAAGTGGGTAGGGCTTGTAGCGAGAATGCACTGATGAATGATCTACATTTGCCACTCTCCACCCAGGTGTTAAATTGGTGCCCGGTAGGATGCAAAAGCCAATGTAGTATGCTTAATAGCAATTTGAGCCTACATGTATGTAGTACATGTAGCTCTTGCTAGATTGCTCCCCAGGAAGTGGAGAAAGTGCATACATTGTGTGCGGGCAAGCCAGAATCCGATGACGGGGTAATAATGTAAAACGCTTAGAAACTCAGACATTGCCGATGTATTAAGCGCTATATGAGCAGAAATATTATTATTATGATTGGCCAGCTTTCAATTTTTTAAAATTGCTACATGTATATTGACCCTTCCATGACCTCTTCGAAACTGGTTTCTTTACACCATTTCTTTTAATGATATATCTTATCTAGTCTGTAATTCACCCCTTTTGCTATGCGATGGTGGTTTGTATGACAGTTCTTACAAAAAATTGTCATAAATTTTCTCTAGTCTAAACAAGCTGTTTATTGGAGGAATCTTTGATGGGAAGCCCTCGCTGGTCCTCGTTACGTCAGCCTAAGGCAGCCTTGCCGGAAAGAAAAAAATGATATTAATAACCCAGCCCACCTGTTTCTATGTGTACAATTAGCCATGTCTGCGCCATTACCGGTGGCGGTGTGGCTCTTGTGACTGTCTCCCGCTAAATCAGTCTTATGAACGTAATTGGGAAAAAAATGATTAGGGCAGGGGCGGATCCACAGGAATTTCTTCCCGGGGGGGATGGGGGGGGGGCACACGGGGGGTAAGAGGACATGTGTATATTTTTTTGGTCCCCTCCAAAATAGCAACGACTCAGTCAGCCAGCCGCTGAATAAGCAGGGGGGGGGGGGGGAGAGCACATTTTTTTTGCTCCCGAATATTTTAAAATCGTGCCGGTTGCAAATTCACTCAGTGAGTGAGTGGGGGGGGGGGGGAGTGCGTACTTATCTCTTTTTTTTGCCAGGGGGGGGGGGCACGTCCCTGTTTGTCAGTCCATTTTTGGCAAATTTGGGGCTGATTTCAACATTTGGCCTGGGGGGGGGGGGGGGGCCTGGATCCGCCACTGTAGGGGTAGTACTGGTAGTTTTCATTTGAAGTTGCATGTATGTGGCGTAAGAGCTGATCAAATTGTGGACACGTTGTGGTTGCACGTACAGTGTACATATACATGTACATGTATGTCACAGGAAGTGATTAGATTTTTTGACTGGCACCCAAAAATTGGAATCATCGGTGAACAAGGTCACTGTATGTTAGTTAGTGTTGATTAGAGAGAGAGAGAGAGAGAGAGAGAGAGAGAGTTTTATTATGACCATATTATTTAACTCTAGAAATTTGTCATTACTGACAATGATTTAGTTTTTGTCGTCTACAAGATTAGCCTTGCAACCATCAAGTTTACAAATGTTTTTCTGCTTAGCAAAGATACATGTAGGTGACAATAGGTACTCAGAGTCCCTGTTTAGTGTCGGCTTAATGCTTAGTGGACGAAAGCTTATGCAACAAAATTCAAGGTTGGTAGAAGCATCAAAAACTACATTGTATCATTATCCCCAACCAATGAAAGTTTTCTGTATCGCTTTCCAATATTTTTGTGTTGTTGGTTTTGTTCTTATTTTAAATATTTAATTTCCTCTTTAGATAATTTTACCAGCTCTCTTGGAAGAAAACATCGGACGCTATAGGTTACTAGAGAGCAGCCCACCCGTGAGAGTCCATTTTGCCAGCCGCACTGACACAATCCCAACAAGCGAGGGCAGTAGGTGTAGACAGGAGGCAGCACACAGACGAGGAGGGGGAGACGGATAGGCGGAGGGGGACGCGATTCTTGGGAGTGACAGAACGGCAGCGGATTAGAGGAAGATGGGGAAACAGAACAGCAAACTGAGGCCCGAGATGCTGACCGATTTGAGGGAGAACACAGAATTCAACGAGCATGAGTTACAAGAATGGTACAAGGGCTTTCTTAAAGGTAAGGATCAAACGTGATGACCTGAATGTTAATCTCCCCCAAATTTTTGTCACAGGTGTGTATATTTTTTATGACCCCCCCCCCCCCAAAAAAAAAAAAGCAGAGTGATTTGCAATACAAATGTTTTTGAATTTGTTTGTCATGCCAAATCAGTGAAATCATCTCTATTTCTAATAAGGCGCGTTAAAGGGCAGGTCCAAGCTATTTGGATTGTGACGTACGGGACATTTAGAGACTTTAAACAAGAAATAACAACAGATGAAATTATTTATATGGCTATCTTTTGGTATGAGTCTGTGGCTATTATGGGCTAGTTCATTTGTGGAAAGTTTTAGTTCTGACCAATTTTTTAATTAATTTTAAATGTAATTAATGTGCTGCGTGATGACCTGACCTTTGCTCTGCCGACATTTGCTCTTGGTTATATGTTGTCAAAATATATGGTTAGGGTAAGGGTTAGAGTTGCAGTTAGGTTTTAGATTCGGCTAGGGTTTAGGATAGTGTTACATGTAGATATTGCATTTAGTACAAGATTGAAGTCCATGTAGAAGCGATTCAGTCGTAGGAAATTTAGTGTGAATAGCGATTGTCGCCAAAGCCCGTGTCATAGAACCCACTTTCCTTCATTGCATAAAAACAATTCGAAATCTGTGGTTTGAATGAACTGAAAACAGAAAAAGGCATTTCTTCAAATAATGTAGACTCGACCTATCCAAAGTGGGTGGAATTTGACCACATATTTTCCCTCTCGCTGGCCCAGAATCTGCAGTATGTAGGTGAATTGGAGTGGAGGTTTTAACCGCCGTAATCATCATGAACTTTATTTAATTTTCTGTGAGTGCATACCTCTTTTCGTCTACCTGACCCTGTCCCTCTCTCTCCCACTCTCTCTCTTTCTCTCTCTCTCTCCCACCTTCTTTCTCTCTCCCACTCTCTCTCTCTCCCACTCTCTCTTCCACTCCTTCTCTCTAACCTCTTTCTCCATTATTTTCTCCCTCTGCCTCTCTTTTCTCCCATCCCTTATTTTTCCTTTCTCTTTTCTCCCATCCCTTATTTTTCCTTTCTCCTTTCTCCCATCCCTTATTTTTCCTTTCTCCTTTCTCCCATCCCTTATTTTTCCTTTCTCCTTTCTCCCATCCCTTATTTTTCCTTTCTCTTTTCTCCCATCCCTTATTTTTCCTTTCTCTTTTCTCCCATCCCTTATTTTTCCTTTCTCTTTTCTCCCATCCCTTATTTTTCCTTTCTCCTTTCTCCCATCCCTTATTTTTCCTTCCTCCCTTCCTCGTGTGCCTCATTTCTCCATCTCTTTCTCCTCTCCATCTTTATGTCTTCTAAATACTCTATCTCATACCCTCTATCTCTTTATCTTTGTTCTCCTTCAGCCTTTCTTGTCCTCCCCCGTCCTCTCCCATCTCTCTCCACCTTCATCCCCCCTCCCTCCCCCCTCCCTATCTCTTTCTCTCTCTCTCTCTCTCTGTGTCTCTATCCCTGTCTCTGTCTCTCATCTCCCTCCCCCTCCCAACCCTCTCTACTAATGCAGTATTGAGTGCATCCCATTAGAGACCCAGTGAACTTGATAGAGACCTAGACACCCCCCCCCCCCCTCCCTCCCCCTTCTCTCTCCCAACCCTCTCCCTCCCCCTCCCAACCCTCTCTACTAATGCAGTATTGAGTGCATCCCATTGGAGACCCAATGAACTTGATGTAGAGACCTAGACACCCCCCCCCCCCCCTCCCTCCCTCCCTCCCCCTTCCCTCTCCCAACCCTCTCCCTCCCCCTCCCAACCCTCTCTACTAATGCAGTATTGAGTGCATCCATTAGAGACCCAATGAACTTGATATAGGGACCTAGACACCCCCCCCCCCCCCTCCCCCTTCCCTCTCCCAACCCTCTCCCTCCCCCTCCCAACCCTCTCTACTAATGCAGTATTGAGTGCATCCATTAGAGACCCAATGAACTTGATATAGGGACCTAGACACCCCCCCCCCCCCCCCCTTCCCTCTCCCAACCCTCTCCCTCCCCCTCCCAACCCTCTCTACTAATGCAGTATTGAGTGCATCCATTAGAGACCCAATGAACTTGATATAGGGACCTAGACACCCCCCCCCCAGGGCGCGACAAACCCGCTTGCCCGACGTCCCGGGGCAACCAAATTGAGCCGTCGGGCAAGTAAATCAAATTATCACTTGCCCGATTCGGGCAAGTGATACTTTTACAGTAATTTCCTAGTGTCCAAGAACTCTACCATTCACCCGTCAACTTCTTACCCGTCGTCAAAATCCAGAAGCAAAAAAGCGATCGTTCCGATTTCGAAAAAACTTCACAGACAGCTAGCCAGCTCAGCTAGCTCAGCGCGCATGTAACAGTGACACTTCAAGCCATGAATGCCGCTCCGCCTCCACGCACGGCCGGCCGTGAGCTAGCTAGAGACAGCTAGCGCGATCGTACCAGCTGCGAGCTTATTCGCGCTCTCTCTCTCTAGCTCTGCAGGCCGCACCGACAGGCCTTTGCTATTCTCTGATTGCCGATTGGTTGAATCACGCCAAATATGACGTCATTATTCTAGGGAAATGAACACGTGCGAATCGGAATGGAATAAACAACAGGGATTTTCTAGTAAGTACAAAAAGTCAAATGTTTGATATTTATTCATAATGACTGTTAATGATTGTGAACATATTATTTAAAACTCGCTGCTCATATAAATCAGATGAATGTTTTTGTCTCGTTTTCAATTTATTACTGCGGTCTCGAGATCCGACCGAGCGAGTCATTTTGATAATAGTATCGAGACCCTCAGAATATAAGCCGTTGTTGTTTTGTTTTCATGGTTTTAGCGACGTTGTTTAGTCTAGTTTTCGCATACTTATCCGAGATTTATCGTAAAATATCTTCAATATTATTATTTAGTAAGAATTTACAAATTTTGGCATGATATACATGACTGAATATTAAAAACTTAAACCTGCTTGAACCATTCTACCTTGCCGAGATTCATGTGAATCTGATTATTTATGGAGAATCAATAAAATGCGTTTTTTAAACCTTCAACCATCCTTTGTTGACCATTTTCTTTGACATATTATTATTCAGTACAGTTACACTGTACATGTATGTGCATTAATTTGCTATCTAAAACACTAACTTATCATTACGAGATAATAAATGCTTTAACCTCGAGTCCTTTTTCGCTTTAAAGTTTTGGGCAAGTGGAAATATTGTTTGGGCAAGTAAATTGAAAACCCACTTGCCCGACAGGGCAAGTGGTGAAAAAAATTCTTGTAGGACCCTGCCCCCCTCCCCCTTCCCTCTCCCAACCCTCTCCCAACCCTCTCCCAACCCTCTCCCTCCCCCTCCCAACCCTCTCTACTAATGCAGTATTGAGTGCATCCATTAGAGACCCAATGAACTTGATATAGGGACCAAGGTCACATGTGATTGATGGCTTAGCTGAAGGGGACACAGAATACCGCGAAGGGCAAAATTCAGTCAAAGACCTTTATATTATGCGTTCCCTTGCACACGAGAACATCACATACCGATAAGAGCCAAAAGGCTATTAAAGAGAAGGTTCAGTTCTGGGAAGGGGTAAAATATAATTTGTGAGCGTTATCATTGTTATAATGCAAGGATGGAAGAACATCAGATTAAACATGTTCCCTGAAAAGCATGGCTCTTCAAATGCCTTCATATTCTAAATATGACATGAAACATCGTAAAAATCCGGGTAGGATTTTTTCGTTGTGTGTTTGTGTAGTCCCATATACATCATTCTGTGTATAGTGCTTGTAACTTTGCCAAGATTTGGCCAAATTTCTTATCATTTTGATGGTTCCAGAACCTTGCAATACACACGAATACTTATATACTAGATGATCAACCTTTTCTGATAGATTCCACACCGACCAGAACTCAACTACAGTCAAACATGCTTTAGTGACCACCTGTCTACAACAAGCACATTTTTTGTTTCCCTTGTAAATGGTTCCTCATTGACACATGTACTAAAGGAACCTGTCTAACAAAGACCACTTTTTGTGTTTCCCTTGGGCAGTCGCTGTAGACAGGTTTGACTGTATTATGTCAGTCAAACCTGCTTTAGCGACCACCTGTATAGAAAGACTGTCTGTCTTTAAAGACCTCATTTTTGTTGGTTTCCTTTGAGTATGGTTTCTCGTTCAAACTTGTAATACGGGAACTTGTACACAAAGACCACCTGCCTATAAAGACCACTTCTCATGTTTCCCTTTAGTGGTCTTTATATACAGGTTTCAATGTAGTTAACACAAAGTTAATAAGGACTTTTAGATTTGCACGTCGACATAGTGGACTGCTACGTGTGACGTTCTGCCTTAAAGGGATCCGGTAACTTTGTCTCAGATTCTGAAACAAAATTCTGGATTTAGCTCATGATGCAATGATAATTATAAACCTTTAGGTCAGTCAGGAACCCCATTACTTTTACAAGCCGATCGCCTGTCTGATTATCAAGATATTTATGATTGGAATTACAAATTTTGAAAACCGTTCGCCTGACGGTTTTCGTAACACTACAGTCTATTGGGGGAAACGAGTATGGTAAAACCGGTCACTCAAAGATTTTTACTTTTTTGAGACACTTCTTGATCATTTTTAAGCGCAATTTTTAGGGCTTCAATATTACACCATATCACAGACACTGATAACACGTAGGGCTGTGTATCTCAGATTTAACATTGTTAAACGATCCCTTTAAAATGACATCACAAGTAGCAGTCCACTATGTCGACGTGCACATCTAAAAGTCCCTATTGCCTTTCCGCCTCTCAACAAACAACATGAAGACATAAAATATTCTAGCGGCCATGGGGAAACCACAGGTTTCAAGCCGTTTTCCTGCTACAGTGCTAGAGGTTTCATTTCAGGGAAATTGTTATAGGAAGTGATGTCATCGTCCATCTATCAAAACTGTATTCATATTGATACAGGAATGTGAATGTACATACATGTACATGTGCATGTGCAAGTACATGTGCAAGTACAATGGAATAAATTCCAAAGCTCTTTGGAAGCGCATAGAGAGGTTATAATGTGATATGTATACTGTATGCGCTATACATGGACAAGACCCTAATATTATTATTGTTATAATCATTTAATATTAAACCATGTATTGTTAGTGGATTTTATATCTATTTTTACTTGTCATGGCAAATCAGTTAACAGATAATCAAAGCCCAAAACATTTTTATCAGTTTTTATACCAATTAAAGGATTATTTTTTAATGAAATATCCATTACACATATTTCATAATTCATATGTTATCTAGAGTACATACTGACATACATGAACATGCAGGCCCTATATCTCGTTTAAAGCTAAATTTAATCATGTTGAATATGAATCATATTCATGTATACGTGCCCAAATTTGCCTCCCTCATATTTTTTTGTTATGCAATTTTTTAATTAAGAAATCTTGAACATACCTGGTACACAAATCTTTCATTATTAATCAGGGTTATGAGGTTTTAAAATAGCATGCAAATAGAGTCATACTCATAGACCAACATGTACATATACATGTAAGTAAACACATTATAGGCTCGTACTGATAAATCCAATGTTCATACATTGTAGGAGCTGTTGGCAGTAGAAATTGGTGCTAGAATAGTACATGTACGTACATCTTAAAATAGCATCCCACATTGTTGTGTTGCTAGACTCTGTCGCCATCTATACAAATAGCACCGTCTCTTTCATTCCTCTTCTCTCTCTCTCTCTCTCTCTCCTTCTCGCGCTCTTTATTGCTGTCCTCTTCTTACTCTCACCCCCCCCCCTCTCTCTCTCTCTCTCTATCTATCTATCTTATCTATCTATCTGTACAAACACAAAGATGTAGGCATAGATTCCATTACAACTAATTTGTGTACATGTACATTACGATTTCTAGTCGCTTGATAGAATTCCAAAGCACATGAAGTTTATTGCAAGTATTTCCAGGCAATGTGCTTGGCGTCGTAAAAGGGACAGACATTCCTGATCTCAATGGAAAAATTAATTCTCAGCTCAACTGAAAAACCCATTTCACCGATTTTCATTTTCTTCACATTACAATGCTGCTATTTTGACTGCAATACCAAACAAAATCCAATTAAGGTTCTGTCGGCCATTATGAGGGACAACATAGCGCCTCGTTGAAAGCTAATATAACAGCAGTGCTGTCTCTCTCTCTCCCGTTGGCAAGATGTCGGTAATAATGACGGGACATATTTGCGACCTTCCGTGATTGTTTTGATTAATAGATAATAAATTGGGTTGGCATCTCTGCAAGGGCTGCGTCGGCAGAGGGACATGTCCCTCGCCATGTTTTAATTGGATCGTACATGAGAATAATTAAAGGGGCCTTGCCCTACACACGTTGGAGAGTGATTAAGTTGGTCTCTCTCTCTCTCTCTCTCCCTCTCTCTCTCTCTCTCTATTTATCTCTATCTCTATCTCTATCTCTATCTCTATCTCTCTCTCTATCTTTATCTTTCAGGGGGAAAACGATAGCTGGATTTTTTTTCTTTTTACATACAGTATATGAAAGGGGAAAAAAAGATAATAAAGTTGGAGAGTGGTTAAGTTGGTCTCTCTCTCTCTCTCTCCCTCTCTCTCTCTCTCTCTCTCTCTCTCTCTCTCTATTTATCTCTATCTCTATCTCTATCTCTATCTCTATCTCTATCTCTCTCTCTCTCTCTCTCTCTATCTCTATCTATCTATCTTTCAGGGGGAAAACGATAGCTGGATTTTTTTTTTCTTTTTACATATATGAAGGGGAAAAAAAGATAATAGAAAAAAAAAAATCAATCTCTCTATCTCTCACTTTCTCTCTCTCTCTCTCTCTCTCTCTCTCTTTCTCTATCTATCTTTCAGAGAAAGAGGATGCAGAATTTTTATTTTTTGTACACATATGAAAGGAAAAAAACAAAAAGATAATAGAATTGTTAAATACATTTCATGTAGACTTCGTAATTTTCATTAAAAAAACCGAGCACTTATTGTTTAGCCTTTCAAATGAAAATGTTTTATTTATAAATGCAAGCCATGGAATTTGCAAAAAATGAGGTACATGCACTTTAACAATTTTCCTTTCTAATTATATTGAAAGCCCAATTATGTGGTGGGGGGGGGGGGGGGGGACTTTAGAGTGAATGCTATCGCTGTTGAAATGTCTGAACACTAAATCACTACTGATTAAGCTATATGTAGGCTTTCATTGCAGGTGCTGTTGAAGCCAATATTGTCATGTACAGATATTTTGGTAGTTGACAGGGATTCAATAATTTTGTTGGTCTTTTTTTGGTGTTGCAATAATAGACACAGGATACTTACAATTAATGTTTGCAGTTGCGTTGCCAGCTCATTTTCACAGTGTCTAAATTTGTGGCCAGCAAGTCTCGAAAACAAACATCCCAATGACATGGTTAACACAAGAGCTGGAGACTTCCACAAAATTTGGGAGTGCTTCAGATTTTTTGATTGTTTTTACCAAGTTAAAGATAAAGTTGAGTTATGGTCATGCGATTGCATTGTGAAAGAAACAGTGTGTACTGCCAGGTTCTGGAATCATCAAAATGATAAGAAATTTGGCCCAGTCTTTGTAAAGTTACAAGCACTGTACACAGAAATATGTATATGGAACTACACAAACATTTAGCATAAAAATCGGGACTCATTTTTGATTTTCTCTGATGTCCTTCCCCACTTACATAATAACAATGATAACGCTCACAAATTATTGTCACCTCTTCCCAGAACTCAACCTTCTCTTTAAAGTGTATTCAAGAATTAACTTTACTTTCTTGCTTTTCCTTCATTCCTCCTCCCAGATTGTCCTAGTGGACACCTAACCGTGGAAGAATTCAAGAAGATATACGGCAACTTTTTCCCTTACGGCGATGCGTCAAAGTTTGCAGAGCATGTATTCCGCACATTCGACTCAAACAGCGACGGCACGATCGACTTCCGTGAATTCATCTGTGCACTGAGCGTCACGTCGCGAGGGAAGTTGGAGGAGAAACTGAAATGGGCCTTCAGTATGTACGACTTGGACGGCAACGGATATATATCAAGACAAGAGATGCTAGAAATTGTACAGGTATGATACGATTGGTAGTGGGCGTGGTAGGGGTGGTAGTAATGTTAGTAGCAGAGGCAGGTGTAGAGTAGTGGTAGCAATATAGGTAGTGGTAGTGGTGAAAATAACATTCATGTAGTTGCACTTGTAGTGGTAGAGATGGTAGTATTGAATTGATAAAGGCATTATAGTTGTGTGGTAGTTGTAGTGGTAGTAGTAGCGATAGTGGTAGTGGTAGGGAAATGCAAGTTAAAGTGGTAGGGATAGTGGTAAAGGAAGTTGTCAAGGTAGTGGAAGTGATAATCAAATAGGTAGTAGTTTAGGTTAGTGTAGTGGTTGTAGATGTAGTTGTATAGATAGGTGTAGTGGGTAGTGGTAGTTGAAGAGATGGTGGTATGGGTAGTGGTACTTGTAGATGTGTTTTAGAGTTGTAGTGGTAGTGGTAGTGGTAGTGGTAGTTTTGTTGAACTAGAAAAGAAGCAAGAAGACGCCCTCATCGTGTAGTCTAAACAGCGCCAAATGAATCTCAAGACATGATATGTGTATACCGGTAAGACTCATCAAAGACCATATTTTGCATTCCAAAAGTGCCAATATTAGGGAAAGGGTAAGTCCAAAGAGTTGCATATATTGGGGTAAAGCAATGGTAGCAGTTCAATTTGAAGTAGAGATGGATTAATATAATATGATTTTCCTCTTTCTTTCCTTTTTTTTGTCTCCCACATTTTCTCCATTTTTACTTACTCTCCTACCAATACCCCTCTTTCATGACCGACCCTCCCCCTCCGCCCCTTCTCCCTCTATCCCGCCTCTATCCACAATCCCAACCCACCACATCCAGGCGATCTACAAGATGGTCGGCACGGTGATGAAGATGCCCGAGGACGAGTCGACGCCCGAGAAGAGGACGGACAAGATCTTCCGACAGATGGACGAGAACCTGGACGGCAAACTTTCCCTGGCTGAATTCATCAAGGGTGCGAAACAGGACCCCTCGATAGTCAGGCTTCTCCAATGCGATCCTAGCGGGAGCGCTGTGACGAAGTGAGACCGTCTCCCGCCCCCCTTCTGTAAATAAGCAAAAGTATGGTAGCTGAGAAGAGAGGATATTATTAAAAAATGAGAGAAAAACAAAGGAGTTGGGTACGAATTCTGAGAGAAAGGAGAACAACAACAATTAAATGGAATGGTCGTAGCACCGAGAGGGTTGCCTTTTTGACTAACTCTGTAACATGGTGTGTTAGCCATTTGGATGTTAACGTGGTGGGGAACAGGGTGTTTGCGGTTGTCAGAATGATGTATTGTTGGGGAAAAGAATGAGAATGGAAAGCCCGTTTCTTTCATAAAATTCCTTCTCATCCGTTTGTGAGCCTTCATTGTAATATTCCGTATACACAACAGCTGGGAATGTTTGCTCGACCGTGTACAAGGGCAAGCACGACGGAGAATCTTACCAAATGTTGCTTTTCCATTTCCAAATCGGTGTGCTCTTGCATGAAAAGCAGCAAATATTAAGGAAAACATTTTGCCACGATATGAAAAGAAGGCAATGATATGCTTCAAAAACAAGTTATACCCTTTTTATATTAAATTGTATGATATATACGCTGTGTTGTCGTATTATAAAGCCCCTCTGATTTTAACTAATTAATGCAAGATGAAGTATAGAAGATTTGCCTCAGAAGTCTTTATTCTGCGGTCACATGTATTTAGTAATATGGTAGAAAGATATCTTTGAATTTTTAAATAAAAATCAATATTAAATCGTGTTTGTCGAAAGAATCTAATATTTCAATGCAAGATAAAATATTTTGTCTCTTGCATTGTAACCTGGCGTTGCCAATTTGGGAATTAAAGTGCTATGTAGAGATCATTGTGCTTTTTTCTCCAAATCCACATTGTGGTAGTTATATGAAGATTGATTTTTTTTAAATTGTCTCTAATACTTGACCGATGTAACATCAAGAGCAAAACATGTTTTCATGTTTGTCTTTTTTTTTACGGGGAAATACAGACATTATGGCCATGTAATTATGTGGGTAGAGAATTCAGCGCAGCTGTACATAGAGCTCGTACAAACGCAAATAAGTAGACATAGATTCCATTACAACTAATTTTTTTACATGTACATTACGATTCCTAGACGCTTGATAGAATTCCAAAGTACATGAAGTTAGTATTTCCAGGCAATGTGCTTGGCGTGGTAGATTTTTCTCTTTTTCTTATCGTTGTCATCTTCATCAACATCATACTTCTCACTTCATCATCATCATCATCATCATCATCATCATCATCATCATCATCATCATCATCAACAACAATATCTCATTTTCATCTCAGACTTTTTGGAGAAAAAAAAGGGATAGCCGAGCCCGCCTTACATCCTTTTTGCCTCCAGAAGTAAGCTGCAACAAACTTGCAGCCTTCATGCTCCGACAAACTACCCTCTGTTGTTTTTAGAAGGCAGTTATTGTTTGGTAGTACTTGTATAAAGAATGTTCTTATTCTTTCATTAACTTCATGTTGGATTACAAAATTTGTAGAGTCTTGAAAAAATCACAACATTTCATGTGACACATCACCATAATCATTTCATTCAGTTTAGGCATTTAGAATTTGACCAAAATACCTTATTTTAAGAACTACATCATTGGCATGTTTTTCATGTCCTGTTTACTACTTTTGTTTTTGTATGAAGGAAGCACAATTTCAACTTGAATTTTGTTTAAAGAAGGGACATGCATTTAGGATAGATTAACTTAAAAAATAATGAAAATAATGACCAATTTCAAATTTTCTCATTCAATTCACAAATCATTCCATGTTTTCACAATTGAAAGAGAAACTTAGCCGGAAATATGCTTTGGTGAAATGTTGTGCAGTACACCTCGCCTTCTTCCACAATTAGATCCCAGCAACAACTATTAGATATGGAAATGGCCTTTTGTAAGTCAGTGAGGTACATTTTTAAATGACATCGGCTTTCAGTCATACAAATTCAAAATTGATGACCGGGTTGGAGAGGCAGCAAACAATTTACTCCATGAGAATCCCAACAAATTTACAACTAAGGAGACATTTTACTCTTGGAAGTTATGAGATATGATCTGCCATTTACACATTCCAAACATTCTTTTCTCATGCGATCAATGTTAGTGTTTTCAATATTAGGCATGTACATGTATGATGCAACACAATGTAATAAAAACTTGAACTTCCAAAAGCATGCAGTTATATTAAATCACCTCCATGTTGAGAATATTCTCATTCCTTCTATAGAGTTTGACTCGAGTGTCTGAGAATGATCGAACGGTAAAACTCGTCCTTCCTAAATCACTTCGTCCCCTACATCAGTCAAGTTAAGTTTAATTTCAAATTCTTTAAACCAATGAATGAAGCGATATATACCTGTAAGTGTTTGATTGTTTTTTAAGATAAATTTCGCAGGTAGTTCTACATTTTATTGTGTCTTAAATGCTGGGCATTTTCGCTGCGAATTAAGGTCCTTTCTCCAAGCTAAAAAATATGGATGCAAATGAGTAGCGAGAGATGAAAATATCAAACGGGATCGGTGTTAGGGTTTAGAAATTGTTTATGTTGTGGAGATTTTTTTTGGTGAAGATTTCTTACTGTAGTATCTCCAGTCAAGCCATTCCTGTTGATTTTTATGTCATTTTATGAAGCAAATCAAGTATGTACGACGCTGACAACTTTTTACAAATCTGTAGATTTTATGAAAGACAGGCTTAATGCATGGGTGGGAAAAGTCTGCGTTGTTTGTTCTTAAACTGTGTCATGTTTTGAAATTCTATTTTATATTATTCTTTGTGTGAAATCTAGAGAAATGTGCAATTTTGTCGGTGTTTCTTCCCCGATATGTGGGGGAGAGATGCGAGAATATTCTGCTTTTTTGTCTGAGGGTTGTTTAACTAGTTTCTACTTCAAGAGATTATGCTGCATTTTCTCCTTAGAGCACTACTGTTTCTCAACAGTTTTTAGCTCGGAATTGAAAGAGTGATGCTTGTGTTTTTTAAAAATTTTATCTGTTGGAGGCGGAAGGGCTTTAAATCTGTGTATAAACCGTATTGGATTTGGAGTTAATGCCATTCTAACTCATAGCAGAAGTTTTATTCTCTAAGTTGTGGGTAGGTGTGAAGACACCCATCTGTTACAATCTACCCACGCTGTGCATTTTACCATACCAGGTTTTTAATTTATTTAAAGGGGCATTCACATTTCATCGATAACTAGGACTACATGTATTGAATTGTAAAATATTTAGTAAATGTTTGGATCTGAGCAAATTTGTGCTGAAGTCTCATGAGCATATTAAAGTCTGTCGGTAGCATCAATATCCAATACCCTTTCAACGTAGACCGCTTTGACGGTTATTGGTTACTTTTATCTTTGATAATGTAGCCAGCTCTTTAGTGCGCATTTCACTTTGCTGGCTTTATAGGGATTTTAGTTTTTCTCCTCTCCATGTTCAACACAATTCTCTGTAAGCTTTGTTATGTACATAATAAGCAGCGTTAGTCTGATAATGCTGATTTTTTTTTTTTTCTTCTTCTTCAGAGTTTGAAGACCTCTCATTATGTTTATTGAGAAGCATAAGATTAGAAAAGAAAATGTGTACCTTTTAGCTACAGCTCTCCAAAATCACACATGAGTATATGCATTATGACCAAACCAGGTGAGCATCTAACTGTCAGTCTAGCATCATAGATTGGAATAAGCCAATACTACCCTTTCATATCGATAAAAATGAGGTCCGTGTCATTGCTCTGTCAAAAGATATAAAAGCTAAGTCCCTAACTGGAGTGAAAGGGATGAAAATGCAGCTTCCTCAGAATGCAATTTTGTGTCTTCTGTTTTCAAAGAATATATTCTTTTCTAAGAAAAAGAACATGCTGTAAAAACTAGAGCTGAATTCTTGCTTTTGTCTCAAGGATAGAATTGAACACATTTTGCCATTTTCCCTTGTGATGTATCATGTATGTAATTCTATTAAATCCCATAAATATTGGAGAAAATTATCTTCTCACTAGTGCAAATATGAAGAGATCATGAGAAAATATGTAAATACTTTATGTGTATATTTTTTTTTCATAGGTACCATGTTCATTACGATACAAAATGAGGTAGAAATATACAAAAGCAATTTACGCGATCACTCTGTGAATACAAGGCGAGACAGATAAGTTTTTTTAGCTGAAAGAATAAGATAGTATGCATCAGAGAATCTTGGATTAGTCTAGCGAGAAGATTGAAATGAGGGGGATAGGGTTTGTGGGTATGATTTTTTTTATAAGTGTTGTTTTGTTTGTGGTGGAAACTTTTGAAACGGATTTCCGTCTGTTCTTTCTAAGTAAATGTTTGTTCATTTTGGGGGCTAAATTCCTCAAGCTCAATATCGTTCAGTTTTTATAAGTGCCAAGTTTTCCTGTGATTTCCTGTATTTCTTTGTCTGTTTGGAGCCAGAGGGCGTTATCTAACAGCGTTAAAATGATGTGATTTAAATCCTTCTGGCTGTAAACAGACGTTGTGTGGAGAGGGGAAGGGAAGCGAGTGCTTTTGTAGGAATTGGGTTTTTTTCATCGAGTGAAAAAAAGGATTATCACTTTCAAATCATGTAGTCTGTGACATACAATTATGTTTAAAAAATTGAGGAATGTTAAGGAATATGAGTGAAACAAATTATGATTCAGGCAGGCTTGACATCTTATTGCAATCATGAGTGATGCTTTACAAATTTTCTCCAGATGCTAGTAAATTTAGAATAATCTAATATTTATAAGTAATGAAAACAACTACTTATTTATTCCAACAAACAATTTCATGTAATCGATAAATTGGTGTAGGGGTTTAATGTAGCTTTGATATATAGCAAAAGGGAAGGAAAGTATTGGAACGTAATCTTACAGATTTGAGATAAATTAATGTTATACTCATTTTGTGTAAAAAATTAACATAATGCAAGATAGGTCATTTCATAGCAGTTACTTATGATGGTTTCATATTTTAAAAACAACTCTGCCCAGGGCCCCCAAGTTTAATGGTTTAGAAATAGAAAAGTGCATTTGATCTTAGCGTATCACCTAGATAGGACATAGTTCCTACAGCAGTGAGCACTATCATATGTAACTGGTTTTTTAAACTGGTGTCCATACTCTGTTTA